CGGGATTTTCTCTCCAAAAATCACAGCAATCCATTAACACTCAATCACATAAATCCCACTTGAATTAAGCTAAATCATGGTCTAATTACTATCAATTTTCTCCCCTAATTAATCCAGAATTTCAGACACAAAGGGCAGCAATTAAATGGCTAAACTTGCACTTAGAGAAGCTGCCACATACCATAATTCTCCAGCTGTAGAAACTGGAGCTGCAGGGGGAGAGAAGCCGGCGGCAGTGCAGGGGGGAAGCTCACGGAAACTACCCAAAAATTGGAGAAACAAAAGGGAATTAAAATAAACCCAGGGCAATTCAAAGCTAGAGAAGGGAGAATTCGAGCTATTTCTTACCAAAAAACCAAGCCAATTCGCCCCCACAAGGCAAGAGCAGCCGGCGGTGAAGAAGCAGAGCAAGGTAGATCCGGAAGCTTCATGCAGGGGGGAGAATTTCTGGGTTCCAATTCAGGTTCTAGAGCAAGAAGGAAGGAGAAATATCCAAGCTTTTTTACCAAATACTCAAGAGGGGGTGTCGGGTAGCTTGAGTTTATATATATATTTTTTTTTGGGCTGCAGCGGGAAGAAAAAGAAGAGCAGAATCGGGTGAGGAAGAAGAAGGAAAAGGAGAAAAAGAAATAAGCCATCCTTATCCAAATTCTCCTCTTTTAAGCCCCTTGACTTTTGAAATATTCACTATTAAGCCCCAACATAATATTTCCTCTCATAAAAGTCCTTAACTTAATGCTAAATATCACAAAATTTCGGGGTATCACAAGTTTGGTTAAAAAAATAGCATGTTTTAAAGAATAACTTTGAGATGAAAAACCTTAAAACAATAAAATTTTGACTTGGCCTACAAAGTAGTTATCAGGTTTGATTTTTGGCATCAAATAATTAAGAGATAACTACCAAAATTCCAAATCTGACTAAAATATTTTGTAATTTTGAATTTTATAATGTAAACAAATGGTAAAATAACTTTTTAGTGTGCTATTGAGAGAAACACCAATTTGACTTGAAAATTTTAATCTATCAAGTTATAACCATAAATATGTTCTTGAAAATACTTACTTATTCCAATTTGAAAAGAATTTAAATGCAAGATTTCAAATGTTAAGAACCAATTAATTGTGGATGTTTAATCTTTCTCTCCTTCCAGCCTCCCACTTTCACATATATTTACATACTCAATACAATGGTGATAACTCCCATCATTCTTCTAGCCTATATATCAAACTTGTAACTTGTACGTGAGATATATGAATGAAAGAAAAAGAATAAAAACTCTTCATGGTTTCATTGTCTCTCTAATTCATATTTCTTCTTTTACTTGTTTCTTTATTTTACAATATATTACATATTCTGACTTAAAGAGATTTTAGACCATAAAACCATACGACAAGGATATCTTTGAAAAAAATTCTATTCACATTAACATTTATATTAGATTTAAGTTACAACTGAATTAAGGAAAGTACTCCCTTCTCTTGTCCTAAACATTTCTTTTCCTTGTGTTCTTCTTTTCTCTAGTTATCACCTCCCTTCTCCCCTCCCCTAGTAGTTATGGTGGATAGCTAAAGGTACAGGTTCTTTCCTTTCTTGTAGGGGGTTTTCCCCTCTTTTGTGGACATTTCTCCCTCTTTTTTGAGGGCTTCTACTCACTTTCTTGATATTTTTCATTGTATTTTACTCTTGATAGAGGAGAAAAGCAACATCAATGTGAGGCTAGTTAGGCTAATATCAATTACCATGCTTCTTTTGATTGTTGAAGGCATGGTTAGGGGTAGGATCCCTAACTAAATTTTTCTACCATAGGAACTGTTGTCTCTTTCTTCTAGATGGATTAAGTTAGAATATGACTTAACTGCTAAATCTTGAGTTTGTTAGATTGTTCAATTTGGCATTTTGATGCATTTTATGAATTGTAATACCTCTGGTATATTACTCTATTTTGGTCAATTCTATAACCCTTATAATTTTCACATATCAATGACATTATATTTCTCAGGAAAAAGTCAAGGAAAGTAATTCAACAATAGCAACCCTAGAAGTGTTGGAAACTTGGATACTTCGACACTCCATAGAGGAATATAAAAAGTCAATTTAGATGTTGAGATGAAGTGATTCCTCTACTTAATTAGATAGTGTCAAGATAATAAAAACTGAGAATGAAAAAGAAAAAGAGAGAAGTATTAGTTAGAATCTTGGGAGTGAAATTTCCTTTTGATTGAAAGAAGCAACATAAACTAGATGTTTTTCTTTGCTTTTATTTTGGTTATTATTCTTTATTCAGGTTGCAAGATCTTTTAGGGTATATCTGTTTTGACAAAAATGGAGAGGAAAAGGAAGATTTTTTGTTTAATTATTTACATACTATTAAATTTTTATAAGAATTTATTGTCTCAAATGTCAAATAATTAAATCGGGCCAAAGAGGGAGTACTTAATGGAGATAATTCCAAAGTTTGAAAAAATAATTCCAACTTGGGTTGGATTTGAAAATAGTTCTAAAAGGTCTTGAAATCTTAAATTATCTCTAATTAAAACCGTGCAATTACAACTTGATCCTTCCCAACCATTTCAATACCTAAATTCCCTCATCAATGTGCTTGTCTATTTCCATCTCATCTGATTTTTGTGGTTTTTCATTTTTTGGAATGATATTCTATCATTGGTGGAATTATTGGATTTGATCACTACGCAAGGGTTTGTGCATTTCTTAAAAATTTTTAGGAAAAAGTTTATTTTGTTGCCATGTATATTGTATATGGCAAAAAGCTTTATTTTTAATTAAATAATTTCTTAAAATCAAAACTATTAGGGAATGAGGAACATGAAGTCTAATATTGGCTAATCGTGGTGAAGCAATAGCTGGGAAGGTAGATTTGTGAATAGAGATTTTTGCAACACAAGGATGCCGTAGGGATAGCGATGATGATAAGGGTAAAATTATAATTGTATGGTACTAATTTAAGATAATTTAAGATGTTAAGACTTTATAGAAATATTTTTTTCAAATCCACCCCAATTTAGAACTAAATTTTTAGAAACCACCCTTTTTTTGGGGAATTATCCCTACTTAATAAGTTTAGCAATAGTAGGGTCTATTAGGTATAATAGTTAAAATTTAATGGACAGTAGGTAGCAGATAACGGATAGTGGGTAGTAAGTGACGTTTACTAGAAGGTAAATGACAAAAAGTGAAAAGTGAATAACAAATAGTAAATAACAGATTTGATTGGTATAACTGTTTAGTTGTATAATTAATTAACAGTTGTTATTTAATGTTAAATGATTAATAAAAACATATCTAAAAATAATTAAGTATATTTTTT